AATTTTATAAACAAACACTTAAAACAAACTAAAACTCTTTTTAAACTTGCTTTAAAACTTTTTTCTTGGTTCAGAAGTAAAATGGTATATGGTATATATAAGATGAAGAAACAAAGCTCAAAACCCAAGTGAAATCCAACAAAATGACAAAAAAACAAAAACTGGAAAAATAGCCGTTACAGGCCATCAGTCGACGTACGGTTTTCATCAGTCGACTAATGAGCTGACCGTTGTAGGTATTTTTCAGCTCATCAGTCGACTGATGACCTTTATCAGTTGACTGATAGATCATCAGTCGACTGGCCAGTCAACCAAAACGAAACAAAAACTTTTGATAACTATAGGCACATTCATCAGTCGACTAATCGATCGACTGATTTCATCAGTCGACTGACCAGTCGACTGATAACAAGTATACAGTCTGTTTAGTGAAGAAACCTGATTTTCAAACTGCCTTTAAAAATAGTAAACAAATTCTAAAAATGTAACAACCGGGATTTTTGATACATATTTAAATAAATTTTCTAGTATTTAAAAAATTAAATTTTATTTTATTAATATTTTTCCAAATTTTTTGTAATTTTTGAGTTTTCAAAATAAATAAATAAATAAATAGAATAGAATATATAGTCTTGTATTTATTAGTTCTGCTAAATATTAATTTATAGTTTAGTGAAATTTTTATATAATTATTTTGGTCACTGATATTATTAGTGACCTTGTTATTATTGATGTAAACCTGAGCATAGTATAGTAGTATATAAATATAAATAAAAAGATATTTGATTGTTAATAATTTATTAATATGATTGAGAATATTATGTAAGATTTTTGAATTTTTTCCATCTCTTAATTTTCTCCCATTTGAAATCTTTCCATAACCACTCTCAATTAATTCCTAATCCCTTCCAAATCAATTTCTAATCACCATTTAAACTCGTTCCTTTTTAAATTCCGTAATTTTCTCTCTCTCCTACTTTTCTCCCCCTCACGTCATCTCTCTCCTCTCCCACACACTCTCCCCAAGAATCAGAACCCCATCTCCTTCTCCTCTCTCGTTCACGAAACTCGACCCCATCACCACCGCAACCCAACTCCTTGCCTCTCGCCGCGTCGCTTCCTACCACAGCGCTGCGTCCTCCACCGTCTTAAACCCCCTCATCCATTCGATACCCCACGACTGCGTCGCTTAGAGGCTCGCCCGAACTTCCCGCTCCCCGCCGAGAGCCTCCCCATCGTCGGCTCCTCCGCTTCCTCTCCCTCAGAGCCGACCGCCCGAACCCTCTCCCCTTCGCAACCTAACTCCGTCCCCTTTGAAACTAGCGCTGCCTCCCCTCCAGTTCGCCTCCATCGAACCCCGACCAGCCCAACGCCTGCAAGCCGTTCGAACCCGGATCGCCAAATCCGCACGCTACTGAGCTCTTCGGGCCCTGATCTCCGCCCCTCATTCTGTCCATCAGCCACCGTCGTCTCACGCCGAGTCGCTCCCGCGAACTCCAAATGCCGTGTCATCGGACACCGCCGTAGCACGACGAACTCCACCAGCTTATCCCGACGTGGATCTGCTCTATGCTGCCCCTGTTCGATCGCCCACAATCGACGACAGCAGCCGTCTCGCCCACTCCTCTGTCGCTGCCCGAGTCGTCGCCGTCAGCCCTGAGCCGCCAGATTCCGCTCTCACGTCGGATCTGATCTTGCACGTCGACGTCGACCCGTTCGACGAATACACCGATGCAAGATCTCACGGTCACCTTGTTCTTAATTAATGGTTAATATCGTGTTATTATGATGATTAGATATATATAAATTATTTGTGGTAATATTGTAGTTAGTATGATGATTACATATAGTTAAATTATTATTGTGGTTAATACGTATTTTTGAATATCTGCGTGGAATGATGATTGCGAGCACACCGTGGAAATTAGTTTAATAATGTTGTTAATTGTATTTTTAAGAATTGCGGACATGAAATGACAAGTCAGGTGTTAAAATTAGAATTTATGAAATTTTATCGAAAATAAATTAATTAAGGGAAATTTATAAAATAGAAAAATATTACTTTTCATGTAGAAAGGAAGTATTGTATTATATTATATAAATATTTTAATTTTAAATTAGTTATAATGAGAAATAGTTTAAAGAATAATTTTTGGAAAAAGAATATTATTTATGATAGTATGACTGATTGTCGTAGAGCATGACATTTCATGTGCAAAACGACATTGGTTTCTAGTTTTCTTTTTACCGCATTATTATATTAGAGAATGCGTAAGTACGGATAATTTGTATGAGAAGTTCAGACATCCTAGTGGTAAAATAATAATGAAGCCCCCTCATGTATTACATTCATGCTGTAGTATTTTTGTTTATGCATTTCATGTTCATTACAATTCTCATTTCTGCTTCATAAACCTGCGTAATCATGTTTAATATGCCTTACTATATTCATGATCTGTTGATGTGTTGAGAACCTTAGTAGTTCATGACTTAGTGGCCTTGTGCGTCATGAACAAACCTAGTAACACGTGTGAGTGTTGACTGAGTTTAGGTGGTGAACCCAAGTTTAATAAGGATTATGATTGTTGAATTAGAGAATACAAGAGAGTTGGGATGGGGAGGTCCTTGTTCATGTGATCGGATATAGCTATATATATATCTTCCAGGCTTGTCCCATGATCCAATGTAGCTTGGGGTTAGTTTGTTGGGTTAAAGTGAAGCCATTGTAGTCACTTTGGTTCGTGAATTGGTTATTCACCCGAGTTTAACTTGAGTTCGAACCAGGTTGAAATCGGATTGTGTGTAGCCCTCTGACCGATCCAGTATAGCGGCGTATTGGGTACACGTAGGGGATTTGTGAATAGTCAGATATCTGCTGATATGAGTGATGACTTTGTGTGAGAATTGACCAGTGACTTTTTATAGGATGGATTAGTCGTAGGAATTAGATTACCAGTTGGCTTGAGTACTTCAGTTCATTCTGATAGTAGCAAATGTTCACTTAAATTGCTAGAATTATAGAATCATGTTCCATCATTATTATTGTCATAGCATGGGTCGTTAGACCGTTTTATCTGTACATGTGAGATCTTGTCGTGTGCCATGCACGCTGACGTACACCTGTTTTCTCTGGTGTGCATCATACTTAGGAGACGGACATGTCCAGCTTGACGTTGAAGTAGAGCCAGTGTATGCCGAGCCGGAGTATCCTTCCGATGGAGTGGAAGAACAAACCGAAGCCTAGACGTGTTTTCTTTTCTGTAGTAGCTGATGAACATTAGAACTCGTTATCTTTTTATCTTTAGTTAATGTCGGATTTTCGTATTTTTGACAGTACTTTCTTTTATTATGGATTATGTATTTTTATTTCTATCTGGACCTATTTTGTAATAAGGGTATGTTTGACCCATATTTTATGCCTGGGATGATTTATTATGGATGATATGTTATTTCTTATTCTGGATTGTCTTTCTATTCATGCTAATTGTGATCGGGGACCTGTGATTGAGATTTATGTATTTGACGCTTAGCGTATTGGATTGAGAAGAAAAGAAAAAAATATATGATGATAATATTTCTTCTCAATCTAATACGTCGCGAACTTGTTCACATTCTGATTCCCTGGTATTTTGGGAAACGGGGCGTGACAGGTTTTAGTGGTGGCCCATGCAGGTCCCGGACCCGAGTCCTCATTAGTAAGAATATAATAAACAATTTTGATACATATCATATTTCATCTGTAAGACTATAACTAAGTTCTTATACTATTATCTTAATAACTATGTTTTAGCTCCTATATTCTAATATATTGTTTTGATTTTAACCCTAGTTCTTTGATCCTCGTTTTTCTCCAGAACCATGGTGGGTACTCATGATTTTAGTAACCCGTCTAGTAGCAGTACCCCGCAGCCCAAAGTGGATCCAAACCAACTTCTGGCAATGATTCAGGGATTGGTCACCAATCAGCAGCACCTGGATGGACAACTACACAGAGAGCCTCAACACCAGCCTCCCCCTCGCGTAGAGTCTGGAGTTAGAGAGTTTCGATATATGCGACCTCCTTCCTTTTCCGGTGCTGAGGGACCTTTAGCAGCAGAGGAGTTTCTCAAGGTCACTGAGACTATTCTCACGATGACCCATATTCCCCATGCTGAATGGGTGGACCTCATGGATATTCAGCTCACCGACACCGCTCGGATATGATGGGCAGCTGAGAAGACTCATCTGGAGAGGCCCATCCTGTGGGAGATGTTCACCGAATGCTTCAACATGAAATATTTTTCTCAGTTAACTCGGGATGAACTCCTATGAAGATTTGTTGAGCTCAAGCAAGGAGGGCGAACAGTTGATGAGTACGAGGCCAAGTTTTTTTCTTTGAGCCGATATACTCCCTACTTGGTTACAGACCCTACGATTAGGAGGCATCAGTTTCAGAAGGGTCTGGACAAGAATATTAGGATGGCTCTGGCAGGTTGAGCTTCGGCGACCCATGATACGGTATTAGATGCAGCACGCGAGATTGAGAGCGTGCATAAGGAACCTGAGGACTCACATGTGATTCAGAGCAGGACACTAGTAGCTTCGGCCCGGAATGTCGAGCGTCCCCTTCCGAGGCAGCAGCAGCAGGCCCCGCAGAGGCAGCAACATTCTCAGCGTCAACCATTCCCTTAGAATCACCCTTATCAGCGCCCTGGAGTGCAGACTCGCGGCCAACCATCGGTGAAGTGTACTCATTGTGGCTACACTGGGCACACCCAGCAGGAGTGCCGCAGGCGTCTTCATCTGCGCTACACCTGTGGATCCCCCGATCATGTCAGTTGGAACTGTCCGCAGTGCAGCATGCCAGTTTACCACCACCTCCAGTTAGGGCAGCTCTCCTAGCACCATCTCGACCAGCTCCGGCAGCACCACCTCAGCATAGATCTTATCCTCGAGCAGGGCCACTTCCCCCACAGCAGCATGTATATCAGGAAGCGCACAGGCAGTAACCTCGATGACAGATGTTCATGATGTCAGTCTTAGAAGCTGAGGCGAACGATCAAGTTATCACTGGTAAGAATGGATAATTCTAAGTTTTATTTGCATATGAACTTCTTTAATTAGCATTACTTGATAATATCATGGTAGGATTGTTTATGAGCACTAAGTTAGTTGCGTTATATCCTCCTAAACAGGCAAGGTTCTTGTTTCTTTTGTTCCTGCTTTATCGCTCTTTGATTCTGGAGCCTCCAATTGTTTCTTGTCTTGTTGATTTGCGAGTGTCCATTCTCTTCCTATAACTCCTTTGACTACGGGATGGAATATCAACACTGGCAGTGGTGTCTTAGTAGCATCCAGTGGTTATGAAGCATGCCCTGTGGTTAGCTGCGGGAGGGAACTCTTTGCAGACTTTCTGGTGATTGATTTGCCGAGCTTTGATGTAGTATTTAGGCTGGATTGGTTGGGGTCATTCTTTTCCACCATTGATTGTTACCGTCAGAGCGTAGTATTGGAGATACCAGATCACCCGAGATTTGAGTTCACTAGTGATAGCACATCGGTCGGACCTGTGGAGTTCAGAGCTAGACCGAAGAAGGCGACGTTAGCTGCAATGCAAGTGGAATCTGAGAAGCTAGTTATAGTTCGGGAATTTGAAGATGTGTTTCCCGACGATATTTACGGATTGCCACCAGATCGAGCGATTGAGTTTTCCATAGATTTGAAGCCTGGAATTACGTCGATCTCCAAGACCCCTTATCGCATGCCTCCGATAGAGTTGGTTGAGCTTCAAACCTAGTTGGATGATCTTTTGCAGAGAGGGTTGATATTAGGGGTGAGCACGGTTCGGTTCGGGTCGGTTTTTACCAAAATTTGAATAACCGAACCGAACCACCTACAATTCAAAACTGAACCGAACCATTGCAAATCGGTTCGGTGCGGTTCGGTTCGGTTTGTTCGGTTCTAACTTCATTAAGTATAACTTTACTTCAATTTATCTTTTATATATTCTTATTACCCTATGCCAGCATGTATTTATTTTTAACTTCACTTCAATTTATTATTCTTGCTCATGTATGATGTATGTATACTGTTTTTAAGTGAAGTAACTTGTCCTTTTGGATTAAATACCAGACTCTGACGTTGTAATTTTTTAGTAACGGACTTGCTTTGTCTTTGTGCAGCAAGCTTTGACTTTGGTCTTTGTGGAGACAAAAAAGGAGCTGACTCATTAGAACATTGGTTATGTATGAATTAATTCCCTGCAACTGCTATTCATGGTGATCGAACACAGCAGTAAACCCACAAATCAAAGGCACAAATATATTCGGTTGGTTTGGGTCGGGTCGGTTTGAAAAATTGTCAACCCGCCCCGAACCGCCTTACTCATAAAACCGCTTTTTTCGGGTCGGTTCGGGTCGGTTCGGTCGGTTTTTTCGGTTTGAACCGAACCGTGCTCACCCCTAGTTGATATGACCTAGTGTATCGGCCTGGGGAGCACCTGTGTTGCTTGTGGGGAAGAAGGATGGATCCAAGCGGATGTGCATCGACTACTGGGAGTTGAATACGGTGACAGTGAAGAATAAGTATCCACTTCCCCGTATTAATAATATCTTCGATCAATTAGGAGGATCGAGAGTATTTTCTAAGATGGATTTGCGGAGCGGGTAACCAGGTAAAGGTTAAGGATTCTGATGTCCCCAAGACTGCATTCCGAACGAGATATGGACATTATGAATTCTTAGTGATGCCGTTTGGTGTGACTAATGTGCCGGCGACATTCATGAACCAGATGAATCTGGTATTCTATGATGTGCTGGACAAGTTTGTGGAAGTCTTTATTGATGATATCTTGGTGTACTCTAAGAGTGAGGCAGAGCATGCAGTTTTTGCGGTACGTATTGAAGACCTTGAGAGAGCATCGACTATTTGCCAAGTATAGTAAGTGCCAGTTCTGGCTAGATCGTATAGCGTTTCTGGGACACATGGTGTCAGGAGATGGCATATCAGTGGATCCGGAGAAGGTATCTGCAGTGAAGGATTGGCCTACCCCTAAGTCGGTGTCTGATATTAAGAGCTTCCTGGGATTAGCTGGTTACTATCGTCGCTTCATCAGAGATTTTTTGAAGATTTCGGAGCCAATAGCATGACTTACGAGGAAAGATATTAAGTTTGTCTGGTCCGACGTTTGTGAGCAGGCGTTTGAGGAGTTAAAGTCTCGACTGATATCGGCCCCGGTCTTGATGATACCAAATAGGAGTGTGAACTTTGAAGTGTTTTGCGACGCATTAGGTAGAGGATTGGGATGCGTTCTTCAGTAAGATGGTCATGTGGTAGCATATGCTTTTCATCAGTTGAAGAAGCATGAGCATAATTATCCTACCCACGACTTGGAGTTGGTAGCTGTGATTTTTGCCCTTAAGCTTTGGAGGCATTATCTATTGGGAGAGCAAGTGAAGGTGTTCACTGACCACAAGAGCTTGAAGTACATATTTACTCAGAAGGAGCTACACATGAGGCAACGCCGATGGTTAGAGCTGATGGCGGATTACGACATTAACCTTCAGTATCACCCTGGCAAGGTCAATGTGGTACCAGATGCTTTGAGTCGTTTGCCGGCAATCATGACCCTCACAGCTCAATGGAGACTTTAGCAGGAAGTGAGGAATATGAGTATAGAAGTTCTTCTTCCAGGAGTCACCGCTTCTTTGATGAATCTTCAGATTCAATCAACACTGGTCGAGCGAATCAAGGCAGCTCAAGCAGGTGACCCATTTCTTCATAAGTGTAGAGAGTTAGCAGCGGCTGGACTTTGATCGGAATTTGTTGTTCATGAGGACGGATCCTTACGATTTGGGAGTCGTATCTGCGTACCAAGAGGAGATATTCGAGAGGAGATATTGCGGGAAGTTCATAGTTCACCATATTCTATTCACCCTGGAGGTACGAAGATGTATAAGGATCCGAAGCTGAATTTTTGGTGGTGTGGTATGAAGAGAGATGTGGCTCGTAGTGTGGCTAAGTGCCTTGTATGTCAGTAGGTAAAGGCAGAGCATTGACGCATCTCAGGTCTTTTGCAGCCGTTGCCTATTCCGAAATGGAAGTGGCAGCATATCACCATGGACTTTGTCACTGGCTTACCTCGGAGCACTAGACAAAATGATGCTATTTGGGTGATCATAGATTGATTAACCAAATCGGCTCACTTCATTCCTTTCCGAGTGGGATAGTCGACATAGCATCTTGCTCAGAGATACATGGAGGTAAAACATTTATCTCTATATATTTCAATGCGTTCCTTTCCCAAGAGTATTAGTAAATCACTTGTACTGCAGGAGATCGTACGATTGCACGGAGTTCCAGTGTGCATCGTTTCGGATCGTGATACCCGATTTACCTCAGAGTTCTGGAAGAGTTGCAGGCGAGTCTTGGGACCAGTCTCAGTTTCAGCACAGCTTATCATCCCCAGACCGATGGCCAGTCAGAGAGGACCATTCAGATTTTGGAGGATATGCTTAGAGCTTGTATGCTTGACTTTCAAGGGTCATGGGAGGATCATCTACATTTGGTGGAGTTTGCATACAACAATAGGTTCCAGCCTAGCAATGGGATGGCCCCTTTTGTAGCATTGTATGGGAGGAAGTGCCGCTCTCCTTTGAGTTGGGACGATGTGGGTGAGCGAGAGATTTTTGGACCAGAGTTGATTGACAAATCAGTTGATGCAGTCATGATTATTCAGGAGCGACTTCGCATAGCACAGGACATATTCAAACATTGGGCAGACGCGAAGCGCCAGCATTTGGAGTTTCAACCAGGAAATCATGTGTTCCTGAAGATTTCCTCCAACTGAGGCACCATTCGCTTTGGAAGGCGTGGGAAGTTGAGTCCGTGATATGTGGGACCTTTCGACGTATTAGAGAGAGTGGGAGAAGTGGCGTACCGACTTGCATTACCACCTGCTCTGGCTGGAGTGCATAACGTATTCCACATTTCTCAGTTGCGGAAATACGTCGGAGATCCGAGTCATGTTGTAGATTTCTCGGAGATTGAGGTGTGATCTGATTTGACATACGAGAAGCAGCCTGTGGCGATTTTGGACCGAAAGGAGAAGACCCTCCGGAACAAGACCGTCTCGCTTGTTCGTGTGATGTGGCACCCAGATTCTCCTGGAGGGTTGACTTGGGAAACTAAGTTTGAGATGCGACAGTGATACCCTCATTTATTTCCTGAATCTTAGCTGTCATGTCTTGTATCTTATTTGAAAAGCCTTGTATGACCTTTTCTTATTTATGGATATGCAATAGATCATGAACCTTATATGAGTTGAAGTGAATCTATCTTTATATTTCGTCCTTGATATTTTTTAAAATAAATAAATAAATAAATAAATAGAATATATAGTCTTGTATTTATTAGTTCTGCTAAATATTAATTTATTGTAACGGCCCGTCCCGGAATCCTGAAGTCGGTACGCTATTAGATCTGATGGACTGGCCTCACAAACCACCACATGTCTTTTCAGCACGTTTTGTCCTCACTCACGCGCTCCCTGAAAAACTTCCCAGGGGGTCACCCATCCTAGAATTTCTCCAGGCCAAGCACGCTTAACTTTCGAGTTTCTAAGAGTTGGGTTCCCGAAAAGAAGATGCGTCTTGGTGATATGAGTATTCCAATCAAATCTATCAATACTAATCACATCACCCTCTCAAGGGTTAGTGTATTACAAACTCCCCCACTTAAACTCGCAACGTCCTCGTTGCGCCAAATCATATCATTCAAGACCGTATCATCCGTGTGAGATTCTAGAGGTGGCTCCTACGGCCTCAAGAGGTGGCTCCCGCCCTCTCGACGTAGCACTTTGAGCCGCATAGCACTTAGCTCTCATAATTCCGGTTGGCTTTGCTCTGATACCATTTGTAACGCCTCGTCCCGGAATCCCGAAGTCGGTACGCTATTAGATCTGATGGACTGACCTCACAAACCACCACATGTCTTTTCAGCACGTTTTGTCCTCACTCACGCGCTCCCTGGAAAACTTCCCAGGGGATCACTCATCCTAGAATTTCTCCAGGCCAAGCACGCTTAACTTTGGAGTTTCTAAGAGTTAGGTTCCCGAAAAGAAGATGCATCTTGGTGGTATGAGTATTCCAATCAAATCTATCAATACTAATCACATCACCCTCTCAAGGGTTAGTGTATTACATTTATAGTTTAGTGAAATTTTTATATAATTATTTTGGTCACTGATATTATTAATGACCTTATTATTATTGATGTAAACCTAAGCATAGTACCATAGTATATAAATATAAATAAAAATATATTTGATTGTTAATAATTTATTAATATGATTCAGAATATTATGTAAGATTTTCGAAATTTTTTCCATCTCTTAATTTTCTCCCATTTGAATTCTTTCCATAACCACTCCCAATCAATTCCTAATCCCTTCCAAATCAATTTCTAATCACCGTTTAAACTCATTTCTTTTTAAATTCCCTAATTTTCTCTCTCTCTCCTACTTTTCTCCCCCTCACGTCATCTCTCTCCTCTCCCACACACTCTCCCCAAGAATCAGAACCCCATCTCCTCCTCCTCTCTCGTTCACGAAACTCGACCCCATCACCACCGCAACCCAACTCCGCCCTCTCTGTCGCAGTTCGCGCTTCTACTCCGCAAAGTCCTCCCGGACCTCCACCCAACGCTCTGCACTCATCCTTGAACCCGCAACGACCTGCCCAACACCGCTACCGATCTCGTCGGACTTTGTCCACCCCGGCCAAGCACCTCCCCGCTCGGCTCCCTCCTCTCCCCCTGCCTCAGTAGAAAACCCGATCCGCTATAACTCGAACACCTCTCTCCCTGCCTTATAATCGGCCAACCCATTACTCCCCCGCCCTGAATACCGCTACTCCCTCACTTGTTAGCCCCCAGTCCGCCTCTATCAAAACTCCCGCGACCGACCTTCCCTCAAAGTTAGAGCCTAGAACCTTAGACCCGAAAAACGCACCTTATAGCTTGCCCGCCAAACCCGTTCAAATCTCGCGTCCGCGAAGATATACAACCCAGATCCTGCCGCTCACCGCCTTTTTTCTAATCAAACTCTCTGATAGTTTAGAATTATCTTAAAATATTTGTGATTCTCGAGTAAGATCCCACTGCTAGGTCACGGATGCTCGACTCGCACGTGGCCCTGATCTCCACGCCTCTGATGCGTGATTTTCCTCACGCAGTCAATCGTGAGCCGTCACCGAACTAGTTCCCGCTCCCCAAGCTCGCGACGCTCCGTGAATCCTTCCTTCGACTGATTTAGCCTTATGTAAAACTGGAGCACGACAGCGTCCGTAGCGCCGACGGAACTTAAAAGAACCCGCTCTAGAATCCGAAACGCGGATACTGTCTCCAAACACCCATGTTATCGTAATACGCCCCTTCCGTCGACGACCAGCAGGGGCCCCTGCCGCCCTTCGGACCGTCCTCCTGTCGCGTCGAAGCCGTCGCCTTTGGGTGGCGCAAGCATACCAAGAGAGGCCTCAGACTGGCTAATAATTCCGCTTTCATTTTCCACTCTCGGATGCTGATCTTCAAGGCACGGGACGTCGACCCGTTCGACGAATACACCGAGGCAAGCTCTTGCGGTCAACTTGTTCTTAATTATTGGTTAATATCGTGTTATTATGATGATTAAATATAGATAAATTATTTTGTGGTAATATTGTAGTTAGTATGATGATTACATATAGTTAAATTATTATTGTGGTTAATACGTATTTTTGAATATCTGCGTGGAATGATGATTGCGAGCGCACCGTGAAAATTAGTTTAATAATATTGTTAATTGTATTTTTAAGAATTGTAGACATGAAATGACAAGTCAGGTGTTAAAATTAGAATTTACAAAATTTTATCAAAAAGAAATTAATTAAGGAAAATTTATAAAATAGAAAAATATTACTTTTCATGCAGAAAGGAATTATTGTATTATATTATATAAATATTTTTATTTTAAATTAGTTATAATGAGAAATAGTTTAAAGAATAATTTTTGGAAAAAGAATATTATTTATGATAGTATGACTGATTGTCGTAGAGCGCTACATTTCATGTGCAAAACGATATCGGTTTCTAGTTTTCTTTTTACTGCATTATTATATTAGAGAATGCGTAAGTACGGATAATTTGTATGAGAAGTTCGGACATCCGAGTGGTAAGATAATAATGAAGCCCCCTCATGTATTACATTCATGCTGTAGTATTTTTGTTTATGCATTTCATGTTCATTACAATTCTCATTTCTGCTTCATAAACCTACGTAATCATGTTTAATATGCCTTACTATATTCATGATCTGTTGATGTGTTGAGAACCTTAGTAGTTCATGACTTAGTTGCATTGTGCGTCATGAACAGACCTAGTGACACGTGTGAGTGTTGACTGAGTTTAGGTAGTGAACCCGAGTTTAATAAGGATTATGATTGTTGAATTAGAGAATACAAGAGAGTTGAGATGGGGAGGTCCTTGTTCATGTGATCAGATATAGCTGTTGATGTATCTTCCAGGCTCACCCCATGATCCAGTGTAGCTTGAGGTTAGTTTGTTGGGTCAAGTGAAGCCACTGTAGTCACTTTGGTCCGTGAATTAGTTATTCACCCGAGTTTAACTTGAGTTCAAACCAGGTTGAAATCAGATTGCGTGTAGCCCTCTGACCGATCCAGTATAGCGGCGTATTGGGTACACGTAGGGGATTTGTGAATAGTCAGATAGCCCTCTGACCGATCCAGTATAGCGGCGTATTGGGTACACGTAGGGGATTTGTGAATAGTCAGATATCCGCTGATATGAGTGATGACTTTGTGTGAGAATTGACCAGTGACTTGTTATAGGATGGATTAGTCGTAGGAATTAGATTACCAGTTGGCTTGAGTACTTCAGTTCATTCTGATAGTAGCTAATGTTCACTTAAATTGCTAGAATTACAGAATCATGTTCCATCATTATTATTGTCATAGCATGGGTCGTTAGACCGTTTTATCTGTACATGTGAGATCTTACCGTGTGCCATGCACGCTGACGTACACATGTTTTCTCTGGTGTGCGTCAGACTTAGGAGACGGACATGTCTAGCTTGACGTTGAAGCAGAGCCAGTGTATGCTGAGCTGGAGTATCCTTCCGATGGAGTGGAAGAACAAATCGAAGCCTAGACGTGTTTTCTTTTCTGTAGTAGCTGATGAACATTAGAACTCGTTATCTTTTTATTCTTTAGTTAATGTTGGATTTTCGTATTTTTGATAGTACTTTCTTTTATTATGGATTATGTATTTTTATTTCTATCTGGACCTGCTTTGTAATAAGGGTATGTTTAACCCATATTTTATGTCTGGGATGATTTTATCATGGATGATATGTTATTTCTTATTCTGGATTGTCTTTCTATTCATGCTATTGTGATCGGGGGCCCGTGGTTGAGATTTTTGTATTTGACGCTTAGTGTATTGGATTGAGAAGAAAAGGGAAAAAATATATGGTGATAATATTTCTTCTCAATCTAATACGCCGCGGACTTGTTCACGTTCCGATTCTCCGGTGTTTTAGGAAACGGGGCGTGACAAAAAATAATAAAACTTTGGAAAATGATTGTAGACATGATAATACACATGCTACAAAAACTGGTTTTCAAAAAGCATCTCCCAAATGTGAAATCTCATCATTTTGCAAAATCACATAAGTATGAACATGTTAAAAACTTGATTTTTCCAAAATAACTTAAACAAAACTTTGAAACACTTTGGAATGGATTTAGAGACTTATACAAGATATGAAAAATAGTGTAAATAAGTTTTCAATCCATAAACGTAATATTTTGCAAATTCAATAGAATATGAAACACATAAATATGAAAATGAAGATATACATTGTTTCATATCAATATAGCTAAACCAAAATAACTTATCCACATAGAAAACAAATAAGTATTATATATCTATTTGTTTGCAAAAAATTTTGAGGATAAAACACATAAACCATTAAATTGTATGTGTATAATATTGAGTTTAAGATATTAACACACAAAGTATAAACCTTAAACTAATTTACCCAATCTATGAGATCTTTAATATGCTTGACTAGGTTGCAGATGAAGTTTGATCTTGAATATGACTTAATATGCAATGGCTTCATACCGATATTCTGCCAACCTCCATTTGATGTGATCGTGAAGGCTCAATCCATCCAACGTCCAACTTATTGTTTGTCTAAAATACCTAATAGGATAACATAAACGCTAGACAAACAATATTAGGAATTGTTTGTAATCATCAAAACAAGATTAGAAGATGTAGTCTCATAACATGAGACCTAACCCTTTTATCCTACAATTAAGATAAAATACGTTTATTAGTGATAAATTTATTTAAATTAAATAGATAATAAGGGTATAAAATATAATAAAAATATGATTATCATTGACATTTGAGATATGACGTCCATGTTGCAAAAATACACATATTCCATATAAATATAAGAAAGAACAGACAACCCAAATAAAATGCATTGTCACTTATCAAACCATAGGAATCCACTATTAGCCTCATTCAACATCACCAATAATTTTTCAATTGACAAAACTTTTAATATCAAAACAAAAATGAAAGAAATTTAATATAATAGTCAAACCTTTAACATGTTTATGCTTTTGATGCGAATGAATTTTATATAGCTATCAAGTATGCATTAAAAATGCTAACGTAAACAATATTCATACAAAAAATATTTCATGAACTATTGATACATCTATTTTGTTTCTCGGTATCCATCTTGCTCCACCTCCTCTTTGTCTTCTTTAGGTGCTTGACAACTCATCTTGAAGAGGATGTATAAGGAGTCACCATAAAAAGAATAATACAAACATGTAATACACTATCACAATGAATATTTGATAACCTTTTAATCGTAGAATTGGATCGTCGGTACCTAAAAACTGGGCCTGTTTGGATTCGTAGGGGGTGAAGGGAAGTTAAGGGAAACTGAGTGAAGGGAAGGGAAGGGAAAGGAAAGGAAGGGAAAGGAAGGGAATTCCCTTCCAAATCCCTTCCCTTCCTCTTGGTTACACCCCAATTTGGGGGGTAACAATTTTTATACTATTAGGGGTGAACCAAGGTGAATGGAGGTGAATTAACTTCACCTCCTAAGTGTTCCCAAACAAAGTAAATGGAGGTGAATGGTTCCCCTAACTTCCCTTCACCCTCATTCCCCTCAATCCAAACAAGCCCTAAGAAAACATAAAAATTAGTTTTTACATGAAACTACAAAATTGCGGGTTTTGTGTATTAGGACTAAGGGATATAATGGTCCGTTCAAGAAAAATATTAAACATAACGTGACAACGTCATATTCCTTAACCATTATAACCTAACCAATTAGAGGGACTAAAATAGCATCGTATTAATGCAATTTGGGGGGGACTAATGTCAAAATATGAAGATATGAGGGTCTGATATCAAAACAACGATGATTTAGGGGGCTAGAACTGAAAAGCCCAAAGATTTAAGGGTTGGTCTCAATCCTCCAAAACCCTAGCGCAGCCCGAACAAAATCCCCTCTTCTTCAATCTAATCTCTTGCCTTCATCTCTAATGGAGGACGCGGTCGAAGCCACTACCAATTTAGTCTCAGATCTCTCCATGGACTCCGCGCCCGCACCCGCAACCACATCCGAAGCCCCCAGCAAAAAGTATCTCTTCTCATTCTCGCATTCTCTCTATAGATTTCATTTCTTTTATTGTTTTCTCAGTATTTTATTTGTGTGTTTTTTTGATTCTGTGTCAGTGCTCTGAAGAAGGCGCAGAAGCAGAAGGAGAGAGAAGAAGAGAAGCGCCGCAAGGAAGAGGAGAAGAAAAAGAAGGTTATCATTTGTTGGTTATAATTTTTTTTTGAATTAATTGATTTTGAGCTGTTGGCTTTTATTCGTTCCATGTCATATTTAATTGCAATGTGGTTTGTGGGTATTTGAAGAGGATGAAGCTTAGTCACATTAATCTTGAAAAAAAAATCTTAAAAGTGTGATTTACACTAATATTATAACTATAGATGAAAGGGTTTTTAAATAATTTGAAGTTTTACTGTAATTTTCAGGCTGCTGTTATGCCAAGTTCACAATCAACAAAGCCTTCTGCTGCCGATGATGAAGATATGGACCCCACGGTTTTATCTCTGATTCATTTAACCTTTATTGCAATCTTTTGAAGAAAGATAAACATTTGGCGGTGTATATTTAGCTGTTTGGCTTTATGATTGCAGCAATACTTTGAGAATAGGCTGAAGGTTCTTGCATCGCTTAAGGCAACTGGAGCAAACCCTTATCCACATAAGTTCCATGTTTCCATATCTGTTGTGGATTATGTTAAGGAATATGGAGGCTTGGGGGACGGAGAACACCTTAAGGATGTTGAAGTTAGCTTAGCTGGTATTATTCTTAAAAAAGAATGATTATGTTATATATTTTTGTTCCTTGCTTTCAAGCTTCTCTAATGATGTATGTTTACTTTGTTAGGGAGAATTATGAACAAGCGAGCTGCTTCGTCAAAGCTCTACTTCTATGACCTCTATGGTGGTGGTGCTAAAGTTCAGGTCATGGCCGATGTTAGGTATTTTTCACTTGATTTTGTTTAAGTTATCTTTTGCTCCGACATATAAATTTTTATGTTGTAGTTATAGTAATCGTTTTACTTTTATAGTTCTAGATTTAGACAATAGCAAATTTGTTGAAATGCATGTGAGCTTGTTTATATGCAATATACTTTTTGATCGTTCTATTTGCCAGTTAAAATTGGTGAATTGGTGTTCACCTAGTTTGGGTGCCATTTTGACTATGGACTGCGAAAAATATATCTAGCGTACATAAGTTTGGAATCTTCAAGTATAAGTTATCGGTTTGCTTGAGTACATAATGACACCTGGAAAATACTATGTTTAGCAATTATTGTGTATGTACATAGTACATTGTTATATAAGCTCAGTCTTTGACTGAAATATAAGAATATGTCTACCAATAGTATCAATCTCGTAGAATTATGGCATGGAATAGCAGTTCCACCGTATAGATGGCCCTGGCTTTGTACGAATATGTTTAGGGGTTACCCGCAACGGAATGATAAAGAAATTCAACTAATTTGCAGGCGTTTTTAAATTCTCAGCAGATAGTTTTTGCTGAATTTTGAATTAACTTGTGAGTTAGGAATGAAGTTTGTGTTGTCAGCTTCGTCCACTAGCAGACAGTTCAACAGAACGTGTTCACTGATTAATGTCAGGTTCACCCTAACATGGTTTTCTTTATTGTTGTGATTGGCCATGTGAACAGTAATCACAAGTCCAAACTGTAAGTTCTGAGTTGTTTATTTCTATAAAGTTTTAAGCGATGTTATGTAACAGTAAGACAGTTTCCAATTGAAAAAATTACATTGACAGGTCCAACACTTACAAATGTGTAAACTGTCATTCTATTTAACAATATGCACAACACAAGGAGATGTTATGGCGTCTTTGACAAAAAAATGTTTTATTAATCATGTTATGTAAATCATGTTTAAAAAAAAATATTTTAGCAGCATCCGAGCTATATTTTGCTACAAGTTATATATACATATATTTACAAGAGATACATATGTAGCCTTGTAATAATGTCTAGATTTTGAAAACTTGCTATGTTCAATACCTCATGTCGGTTTAAATATGACAACTTTACTCGTATTTTGAAATCATAGGTTTAAGAAAATGTTGTGGGTGGAGGTCAAACTGAACCTGTATCAACAGGAAGTCACTGTAATGGCCAGTAACACATCTTGATAGGAATTAGGAAATGAAATAAAACTATATGGGTTCAATTAGCTCATATGCGCTGAGAAGTCAAACCTGAACCTGCTAGGTTTCTGACTGTTTGAGATTCACAACCTTATTTCTTCTTCGAGTTTCTTGTTATGTTTGAAGTAATCATACAGTTGCTTGCATGGTATGGCTACACAATATATATTTTGATAAATGAAAATGTCTGGCTTCTAATTTGACATCTTTAAATATTATGGTTATGTACAAGTTCAATAAATATTGTGGAGCTACCTGTTTCCTGTGTTAACTGCTTTTGTTTTGCTGTCCATAGGGAGTCAGGCATGGATGAAGCTGAATTTTCTAGGTATCATGCTGGTGTGAAACGAGGTGATATTGTCGGCATTTGTGGTTATCCAGGTTAGATCTATTTACTTTCATAATATTATTGCATGTACTGCAGCACAAAGAATTTTTTTGCATATGTAATATCGATTGTCGCCTATGTTGCATGGGTATGGGTACAGGTGTGGATACGGTTCTGGGTGTGGGACATGACAAATTTATAAAATGTAGGATACAGAGACACAACTGAAAGACATGAGCTGAAAGCATAATTGTGAGCTAGATACGCAAACAACCATTGACAATCATAGTTCTTAACTGATTATGGGCTAAAATGAACTCGATCGTTGTCCAACAAGTTTCAAAAGTGGACGTGAAGTGTAGGTATGTTAGTATATGACCAAAAAGCGTGAAGAATGAACATGTATTGTATAACTGTGTACACATCTGAATACATATAAGCATATATTTATTATTTAAGGAGCATCTAAGAAGTGTTGGGTGTGGTATGGTGTGTGTCTGGTAGGGGTACGACTTCCTGCTAGAAGTGGCATGCAGCTTAGATTGCATTTGTATTTTATAGCATAAATGTCGGTTTTTTCAGATCTTCCTTATCCAGTTAGAATACGTGCATTATTGTTACAATGTATTGGGAAACAAGTTAGTATTTGGATGAAAACATGAGATGCAATTTTCTACAGGTTTATAATGTTTCATCATCGTCATCACTACATCATCATCAATATACTAGTATGATTATAGTGGTAGTCGTAATAATAACTAAACAGTAGCAGTAATTAGTAAATAAATAAATGAATTTGTCAAAGTAGCAATAACGATACAAATCAATAACAAAAGAACAAACTTGATATGTGTTGATGAAATACACTTCACAGAGAAAAAAGTCCATGATATGGTAATATTTGAAAGCACTTCACTTGTAGCGTGGCTGATTTAAACAGTGATGTGTTATTAAAAGTTAGGCTGCCTGGTGATATTCATGATACTCCTGTAATTTTTGCAGGAAAGAGTAAGAAAGGCGAGCTCAGTATTTTCCCAAAAAAATTCATTGTTCTTTCTCCTTGCCTTCATATGATGCCTAGGCAGAAAGCTGGACCTGGCTCTGGAAATGCTTCTGCGAAGGTATAAAATCTTTGATTGGATCACTCTCTCTCTCTCTACAACGAAAACAAGCAGACACAAATTCGTGTGAGTATTAGATATTACTTTTTAAATGCCTGAATGGAATTGTTCACAGAAACCAGAAGCGAAGGCAACATCTGAGCAGGTTCCAGGAATGACTAGGAATCCAGAAACATATGTGCTGAAAGAACAGGTATTTTTACAGTTATTTTCTTAGAAAGGCTCCATCACACTCTTTAATATTTTTATGTACATAAATTCTTTACTGTTTTGCTTCATTGTCTCTCTCTCTGCACGAAAACAAGCACACACATTCGTCTGAGTACTAGATATTACTTTTTAAAGGCCTGAATGGAGTTGTTTACAGAAACCAGAAGTGAAGGCAACATTTGAGTGGGTTCCAGGAATGACTAGGAACCCAGAAACGTATGTGCTGAAAGATCAGGTATGTTTACAGTTTTCTTTTCTTTCTTAGAAAGGTTCCGTCAGACTCTCTTTAGGTTTTATGTGAATAAATTCTTTCTGTTAATTTTTCATGACCACCCACCTACCGCATATTTAATAATTAATCTACATCCAAATTTATTGATATTTTGCTTCGTCTGGTAATAGGAAACTCGTTATCGTCAAAGATATCTAGATCTGATGTTGAACAGTGAGGTTAGGCAAATATTTAAGACCAGAGCAAGGGTTATTTCTTATATCAGAGGTTTTTTGGACAATCTCAATTTCTTGGAGGTTTGTTATGGATCCATTTTTGTAGCTACATGTGAATTTTTATCTGGTCTTTGTCTAATTCATATAATCTGACCTGTATGTTGTGCTGCATATTCAGGTAGAAACACCCATGATGAACATGATTGCTGGGGGTGCAGCTGCCAGACCTTTTGTTACCCATCACAATGAATTGAACATGAAGTTGTTTATGCGCATTGCTCCGGAGCTTTATCTGAAGGAGCTGGTTGTGGGTGGTCTGGACCGTGTTTATGAGATTGGGAAGCAATTTAGAAATGAAGGGATTGATTTGACCCACAATCCTGAATTCACTACATGTGAATTTTATATGGCTTTTGCCGATTATAATGATTTGATGACACTTACTGAACAAATGCTATCTGGTAAACATGACATTTCATTTTATAGGCATGCTCTTTTTGGTTATTACCCTACAACTTTCTATGTCATCAAGATTTATATAAACTCCTTAGCCTAGGTGTATTTTAGATTCTTAAAATTTTCTTAGTATTTACACCAGCTTAAATTGGAGTCCAGCAAGACATTTTTATCTTCCTTGAATCCATGTTTCCTTGATGTCTTCCTTCCTAGCTCGTAGGTATAAATTTGATTTTTTGGGGGTTTACCGGGGGTTGACTGTCAGATGTAAACTTCTGCCTCCCTCTGCATTTAAAGCTCTAAAGACGTGTGTAAACGAACCCCATTTATGTAGAAAAGTTACTCTGCTGATGGTAGACTTGCATTTTGATGTAGTTGGAACTTTTTTTCTTAAAATTAACCTTTGTATAGTTGCAGGTTTTCTACCCAACATGTTAAAGCTTGAAAATTTTGATTAAGTAACAAATGGAATAGAACTCAAAATACTTGCACTGGTGGGAATATGAAGAGTATCCAAATTTTGATAGTGGCCACTTGAAATTTTGAAACAGGAATGGTCAAGGAGCTAACAGGTGGCTATAAAATAAAATATCATGCCAATGGTGCGGACCAAGATCCAGTTGAAATTGACTTTACCCCACCATTCAGGTACTATAATATGCTGTGCAATTCTACATCTATGGAAGCTATGTTTTCTGTGTTTTAAGATGTTAATTGGAAGAGTTTTTCTTAATGGCTCATTGTATCAGGAAGATAGATATGATTGAGGGCTTGGAAAGTATGGCCCACCTCAACATTCCAAGAGATCTTTCTAGTGAAGAGGCAAATCAATATTTGTTGAAGGCATGTGAAAAGTTTGATATCAAATGTCCTCCACCGCAGACGACTGCAAGATTGTTGGACAAGGTGAGTACTTTAATTAGTGTCCAACAACTCTTTCTATAATTTATTAAGTGATGACCTTTGTTATTTCACCATGAAGCATAATAGTATGTGTTATTCTCTTCATGATGAAGACAAAAACTTTAGAATTATAAAAATGCACGCAATGCATCTTTATATGATTATTCGAGTTCTTTTTCCAGCATACTCCTATCACCAAAAAGTAACTTGTGGTATCATTTCCTTGAGGAAGTTACAAATCTCAGTATTATTTTATTGTTCAAAGGTTTAATGGGTGATATTGACCACATAGGAAGTTGGAGTTGCCTCTTAACAAGATGGAATGCAAGAATTGGACTCATGTAGCTGAACCCAAAAAGTGGGGATAAAGGCTTCTTGTTGTGATTGCCATATGGGGTTTTGATTGTTTCTAAATAAAATTTTCTTTAGCCGGTTGAGTAGAACTGAAGGTTTCTTCTTGTAGTCTGAATAGATTGGTTCTTGGCTTCTTCTGTAGTATGGTAGAATTGTTCTTGGACTGTATATATTTATGACTGAGAGTTTCTAGTTCTCTACTGGAAATGCTGTCAGCATGCTTACTAGCAGTGCTACTAACATATGAGAGTTAAGACTGATTACATCTGGTTCAAACTATTTTTTTTTTACAATCCTTTCTTTGGATTATGCCGAGGATTATCATGTCTATCAACTGTGGTCCAAAATTTGTTGGGGTCTTGAAAATGATTCCCAGAACATGCCTGTTGAGTATGTTTTCCCAGATGCTGTTACATTGAACTGGTAATCTTACTGTGTTGAATCTCACCTCTAGCATGTCTTGGTTAAGTCTACTGGAATCTTATTGAATAGGAAGCGACTTAGTGTCAGCAACCTTCTATGAGGTAGTATAAGTTAATAGTCAACTAAATTTCAGCTTGTCTAGCTGTGAGCCTTATGTTGGTTCTTGTTATGGAAAACTATTACTCAATGTTATCTGCAATGCCACATGGGCCATGTGAATTGCAGTAGCCATTAGAAGCAGAAGACGTGAACAGAAGCATTAGCACTTTAATGTTTCACTTACGTTGGTTCTTGTTATGGAAAACTATTGCTCAGTGTTATCTGCAATGCCACATGGGCCATGTGAATTGCAGTAGCACTAGAAGCAGAAGACGTGAACAGAAGCATTAGCACTTTAATGTTTCACCTTTTGTTCGGTAGACTGTTATAGGGGGGCCGGGGCTACCTATTTTCCTGATAAGTTTTTAATCTTTAATTTCAAAAAAATTACAACGAAATGAGCATTAGTTAGTAAGTAACGCGTGAGTTTGTCATCTGTCGGCTGTCAAATGTTAGGTATTTCTTGAGATCACTTTGTACAAATAAACTGCACAATGTACACCTTCTCATGCTGAATTGCTTTGCCAACATGGAATGGTCACACTCAACAATGAAGCACGGACACAGACACGCCGACACGGACACGACACGGACACGGACACGCCGACACAGACACGACACGGACACGGACTCGGCAAAACCCAAAAAAATAGGACTCGGCGACACAGATAGACTTTTTTAATATTATTATTATATATAGATAAATTTATAAAATTCAAACAACAAACTAAAATTTAATCCTCAAACACAAAATAGTAAGCTACTAACACGTTTAAAATTCGTACATATCGCATTCTCTGAAGTCTCTCATTTGAAAGACCAGTGACGCACACGTGTCCCGGTCCCCGAAACATCAAAACAAACTTTTTCGCTGCATCCGACCACCCATGACCTCGCATTTCTAAAAGCTAACCCCAACAAGCTCAATCAAACTAATTTATATTCCTTTTCTCCCCCCTAAATCTTAATATTTAGAATATAATAAACAAAATATCTCAAAAGCCCCACTCTCTCCCACGTGATTCCAGAAGCACCGCACATGGCTGCACATAAGTCACGCTAGCTGTCGCACAAAACAGAGAGAGAGAATCAGAGAGAGAGATCGAGGGAGAGAGAGAGAGATGAAGAATCAGAGAGAGAGAGAGAGAGGGAGAGATCGAGGGAGAGGTTGACCTAGCCGGCGAGAGATCGAGGGAGAGAGGACGAGCCGACGAAGACGAGGACGAGGACGAGCCGAGATTGGACTGCCGATGAGGACGAGGACGAGCTGAACTTGTGGCGACGTTCTTTTCCGTCGTGTCGGAATAGAGAGAGAGAGAGGATGAGCCGATCGGGTGAGTGAAAACTAGGGTTTGGGTTTGGGTTTCGGGTTCTCTTTTTTTTCGCCTCCCAACCGTGTCAGGAACAATTCATCAGTGTCGAGAGCGTGTCGGCCGCGAGTTGGAGCGTTGACCCGTGTCGGCGACGTTGATCGCGTGTCCGACGCGTGTCGAACGCATGTCTGCGTCCGACGTGCGTCGGAGACGGACTCGGGGCTTGTTTTGGAGTGTCGTTGCTTCATAGACACTCAGATCCACGTAGCAAATATGGAACAATTCAGTATGAATATGTTAGATAAATTTCTATCTACAGTTTGTGATGATTTATTTTCTTATCATAGTTTATAAAAATTCTATCATATGCAATTTTTTCTGTTGATGTTTTATCATAATGTCTTTATTTGTGTTTGGTGACAGTTTGTTGGACATTTTCTGGAGGAGACATGTATGAACCCTACTTTTATCATCAATCATCCAGAGATTATGAGTCCATTAGCAAAATGGCACAGATCAAGACCTGGTTTAACCGAGCGGTTTGAATTGTTCATAAACAAACGTGAGGTATGTTAGCGTAAGAACTTTCATTTGGAAATAACTTCTGCATTTTCATAATAATTATCATTATGTAATGTCCAGGTATGCAATGCATATACGGAATTAAATGATCCAGTTGTGCAGCGTGAACGTTTTGCAGAACAGTTGAAGGTAACAGTTGGATAGCCTAGTTTTGAACTCTTATGTATATCTATATTAAATGTACCATGTAACAAAGTCTTGATAGAGATGTTATCATTTTCTAATTATTTTTATTATGTAACTGTTTAAGGATCGGCAATCAGGTGATGATGAGGCCATGGCTTTAGATGAAACATTTTGTACTGCTCTTGAATATGGTTTGCCTCCAACTGGCGGTTGGGGGTTGGGAATAGATCGCCTCACAATGCTATTTACAGACTCACATAACATAAAGGTTTCTTCTTTGTTTCTGCTACAATTTTATATTGATTTAATGTAATTAATAGATGATAAAATTCATGGTAAATTCTTCATTGAACTTTTCGGTTGCAGGAGGTTCTTTTATTTCCAGCAATGAAGCCCCAGGATGAGCCTTCTCCCAAAGGTATCCTTTTTTTAGTTTTTTTTTTGTTTTGGGTAAAATGTGGGAGAAAGCACCCTTCTGTCATTCAAGAGTATTTAATGCATAATACAACTGAACATGTTGAACTAACAATAAGCATCTGAGGATATATAGGCTTCAAAAGTAAGCTAAATAATGTAAACCAACAACCATTTTCTTATAATAACGGGGACTACATATTAGATTCTCACAAGGTTTTAAATATCGGATGTCGGATTCATGTCGGATGGCTAAAATCCATGTCGGATAGCGGAAATTGGGGATATATCGGGGGACATGGACTAAATATCAGATTGCCATATAAGATGATGCGCATATGTATAATATCATGTCTTAAATGTAATCTAAGCATTCCTAAATTCAATATAAGCATATTTTATAAATTTTATAGACTAGACATAAAAAAGTAAAAATCAACAATTCCTTTTACTTAGCAGTCAGCGATTTATAAATTTTATAGACTAGACATAAAAAAGTAAAAATCAACAATTCCTTTTACTTAGCAGTCAGCGACTCAACAACAGCACAAACTGAAAGTCTGAAAAAATGCAAACAGAAAAAGGGTCATGAGAGAGAGAGGTAGAGGTCAGGGAGGCTTAAGTGAAAAAAATGTAAACAAAAGAAGTCATTAGTGAGAGAGGGAGAGGGGGGGAGAGGTTTACTAGTTACCAGTGCTGTGAGGACCCTCCGAGGCTCCGATGGCATAGGGAAGAAAGAGAGGAGAAGGCGGCGCTGTGAGGATGAGAGAAGCCGAGGACAGGGAGGCTTACCAGCGATGTGAGGACCCGATGGCGTAGGGAAGAAAGAGAAGAGAAGGCGGCGCTGTGAGGATGAGAGGAGAAGCCGAGGACCACGAAAGCAAAACGACGAAGATCGCGAGCCCTAGGGTTTTTCTTTTCTTTCCTATGATATGATCGGTGTCTATCGGGTTCGAAAAGATCCTCCTATATCCGATAAAAGGGTCAAATGGGTTTCGAACCCAAACCAAACCCAAACCCAAACCTTTGAACCGATAAATGGGCTTATCGACTGATTTTTCAAACATGAAAAATCGGCTGACATGGCCGATATTTCGCCGATGTATCCGATATCTCCCTGAAAAACGACATGCGATTTAAAATTCCCCGATTCGTGTCGCTCGACCCCTCAATCCGATATATCGACCGACATGTCCGACATGACATGTCGGCCGATATTTAAAACACTGGATTCCCAACCTAAAGAAGGTTGGAATGGTGTAGAGAGCAAAACTGGATGGGAAGCAATATATGATCTATGAATAACAAACTTCGGCGTGAAATAGGGCTGAGCATGGTTCGGTTCAAACCGAAAAAACCGACCGAACCGACCCGAAAAAATCGGTTTTATGAGTAGGACGGTTCGGGTCGGTTTGAAAACTTTTCAACCCGAACCGACCCGAACCGACCGAATTTTCTGAATCATTACGGGTTAAAAACAATATCATTATATCAGTGTGTAATGTTTCATAATCTCTTATTTTGTTGATACCTTTTTTTTTCTTTAACACAATTTGTTGTTTGATAAGAAATTTCATGAAGTTAGAACCGAACAAACCGAACCGCACCGAACCGACTTGCAACAATTCGGTTCGATTTTGAATTATAGGCGGTTCGGTTCGGTTCAAATTTTGGAAAAAACCGAACCGAACTGACCGTTGCACACCCCTAGCGTGAAACATAACTAGTAACCATTTTATTATAATGCTGGGGGCTGCATATTGATTCACAACCTAAAGACCGTTGAGAATGGTTTAGATAGCAAAACTGGATAGGCAGCAATATATGATCTATGAATAACTAACTTTAGCATGAAACAGAACAAATTTATGATTAGTAAAATAATGGACTGTGAATTGTATGCAGACATTTAAGTAGACTATTGTTCTGAGCTGATTTTTAGTGTAGTTTGTAGAATTCAAGTGTCATACATGGTGGGTGCTATAAATTTGCTATTGTCTCCAAATGAAGATTGCGAATGGTTTCAATCTTTTCCTGAGCTGATGTTTTCTCAAACCTGTATATGTATTCTAGACAAATGGGTTTTTTATGGGGACCTAAATGTAGACTAAAACTTTGACGTTTTAGGATATGGATCTAGAAAATTTGACCCGAGCTGATGATATTCTGACAAGCGTTGAAAACTCCCTAAAAAAGCTAGTTTAAAAAATTACTTTACTGTTCAATAATATCAATCATAATGTAATCGATCCACCCCACCATAACACTGACTTGATTCCCCCACACCCCACCCTTCCAAAACAAAACAAAAAACCCCAAACCCCACCCCTCAAAAAGCAAAAAGTTGCCCAACCTGCCTAGTGAATAGATTAGATTTAGATGAGAAATGACTTGAAAAGGTTGGGTCTGGATTTGGCCAGACCCAAAGTTGACCTCTTGTAGCTTTTAGGTTGAATATTTATGTACGGAAAGTGACTTCTGTCAATTCTATCTAATGCTTCCTAAGGTTGATGAGGCAACCTATTCTAGGTCCAAGGTTATTCATATCTTGCTGCGACCAAGCGGTGTTTAAAAGATACTTAGGAGGGTTATTCATTGGGGTACTTTGAGGCAAATTGGGTTAAGTTGTTCCAATGAGAGAATTTTACCTAATGAGATAATTTGAGTGGGATAAAGTGAGGTAAAATGGGATAATGAGACAATTTGATTGGGATAATTAGTATAACATATTTTTATAATATGATATTTATAGATCAATTAAGTTCAAGTTTAACTTGATATTACATCAAATGATTAAATAAATAATAATATTAATAATATATAATATTATTTTTAAGATATTTTAATATAAAATATTAAAAATAATATAATAATATTAATAATATTAATATTAATCAATCTTTGAAAATTTTGATGTTTATTTTAACTATTATGCTATATTAACAAAATTTTTAATTGCAATAATTATTTAATCATTCCTATATTTATTACAATGATGATAATAAAGTCTCAATTATTACAAATAAAGTCTTAGTAACTTAAATCTTAATTATTACAAATATAATCTACCGGCTTATAACTTTGCTCTAGACTCCTTGGGCTATATTTGTCCCATCCTCCCACATTGTGTTTGCTATTTGTTCTCTCCAATGTGATGCAGCTGTTAGCTGTGCTTGTTGAGTTTGTAGGTCATTGTCCTCATCAGAATCATTATTAATTGGAGCAACATTGTTGCGTGGTGCCTCTAGAGGAATATCAGAAACTTCAAAGTCATCTTTAGAAAATTATGCAGACCGATACATGTCCAGATCATACTTTTTTAAGTCTCATATGGAAAACCTGGAGGTTGAGACTTAAAATAGTAAAACTAGACTTGAAAATGCCAAAGATAAGTTCAATACAATTTCTAAGAGATGCATGTTGATGATTGAATAACTCATGAGCATTGCGTGGTCGTTGACATTTGTTAGCTGGGCCAAACTCTTTAAGGTGGTACATCGTACCCCGATAAGGAGCCAAGAATTAGAACTTATTTGGATAACCATAATTAACTAGATAAAATTTACCTACATTAACATTTTTTTAGAATTATATTCAATAAATATAAAATCTAACAATTTGATAAAAAAAATATTTACCATTTGGGAGTGGAAGACTGCATGCACTTCTACTCATTGCATCATTCAAGACCCGTGAATCATTGGCAGATCTCTCCCATCCCACTAAGACATAAATAATGTGCATGCTGCAAGGATACTTTGAGTAATATAGCCATGTCTATTATGATATGGGGTTTGGTCCTCGTCATACACCATACATAGAATGTGGGTCCCGTCAATAGCACCAATACAGTTATATATTCCCATTAACATATATGAAATGTGACTTTAAAAATATAATAATAATGAATGAAAACTTATATAGCGTGTTTAAATTTCAATACATTGAAATAAGAAAATGAGATTTGGATGTGACATTTTCTGGTGGATTGGTAGGAAGAGCCATCATATAAGGGGCTAATGACACAAGAGCATGTAGTGCCTTATTGAAACATACACTGACTGCAAATTGGGATCGATCAAACCTCTTAGTGGTGATGCAATATCGTTGATTTTGAGTAACAATGAGAAGGAAATAGCAAAATAATTGAAGGTCAAGGTCCGTAATGCCATGTCTAAAGGCCAAGGTCCGTAATGCCATGTCTGAGTTGGGAGATGCGTAGATTTAACTCCTCTTGTGATATGTGAAGTGAGATACTCGTGACTAGACCTCCCATTTGTACAACCATGTCGATAATGCGAATGAGGAGATAATCAGCAATATCCTCATAAAATAGCAAAATAGAGACATTTTGATTATTTTCCATCCTGTATTAATCATGAAATCAAAACATAGTGCTAGAGGTAATTGCCATTATGATACTTGTTAGAAATAAGATTTACTCTTCCCATTTAGCATTTCAGTAAGGTATAAACAGTAGAAAAGCATATAATCATCTTTTGAGCTCACACATATAAATTGTCATTCAAAGCATTCATGTGCTTAGCATACATATATATGTACAACAATGATATTTAAAACCATGTAGTCATCAAAGCATTCATGTTCTTAGCACTGTTATAAATAGCGGTAAATAGCCCCGCAATAGCGGCGCTAATAGCGTTAGCGGTCCCTTCCCGCGACGCTATCGCCCGCTACGCTATCGCGCAATAGCGGTGACATATTACGAAATATGTGTTCGCAAAAACGGATAATAGTGTGTCATAATGGTAAATAGTGAGCGATTGCATTCGAAATTTGTTTTTTGACTGCTATTTAAAAGCAGTTCGAGGTTTATTTTTTTTAAAATTAAACTCAACTCTTGACCATTGCATTCCACCGTCTCCTGTGATTTTCAGCATACTTCCACCATCTCTCATAGCCTCTGACACCTACCTTGATACTTCCTCTCACCTCCTTCACCATGAGCTCCTCTTAGGACAGTCCTGTCACCGCTAAGCTCTTCTTCTCAAAGACGACTGACTTTTTGACTCATCCAGTCATCTTCGGTATTACGTGATGATTACATGTCTATCTCATGTTTAGGATCTCTTTAAATCACCCAATATGTACTTTTAGATTTCTTAGATTTTTTTTAAATTATTATTTTTAGTATTTATACATATCTATAAATTAGATCGCTTTTTGACTTTACGTTTTTTACCGCTATTTTACCGCAATAGCCCGAAATAGCCTTAGCGATGCCTCACTGCTACGCGACGCTATCCGCTATCGATAACCTTGGTTCTTAGCATAAACGTCTAAAAGCATTATAACTAACAGCATCTATGTTCCCAAAAATACAACTCCCAAAGAGTAGTCATCAAATTACGGCCCACAAGCATAGTCATTAATAAGCATAGTGATTGTCGTCATTTGGAAATACTCCGGTTAGTCGCCAAATCATAAACCTTCTCCTTTGACCATCATTCATCTTCACAAACATATCCTTCACGGAAATATTTTGTCTAAGGGCAGTCAATCGTTCTTTATCGGTAAATTTTGGAATTGAAGCAACTCCCTCGACCCACGGTTGGTTACGGCTTCGTAACAACCTCACGTCTGTGACTAACTCTTGTAAAGCCTTACTTATAATTGTAATTCCACTCGACATTTTTTGCACAGCGAGTTGAGACAATGCAGAGGCGGTGGTGTGGGAAGGTGCTCTACGAACATTTCTGCTAGTGCTAGCGGTCGATGGTACAAATTCAGCCACGGGAGTGACAGGACCTGGAGTGCTATTGGGGGGAGGTGGTGGAGGATCTACTGGTGGTTGGGTAGGTTCTTCTTAACCCATAGCATCGAGTCCAATGTCATCATCAAATATACCCTCACACAATGCATTATGTAATGGCGTACTCTCTACACCCTCACTTCCTAAGCCTCCAGCAGCTCTCCCACTAGCTGAGTGGCTACCCACCACCATCTGCATATCCTCAAAATTTTCAAACAACTTATTTTTAAGCATTGGTGTATTAGGATGAGTCTGTTAAAAAACAAAGATAACAAATTAATTTTTTTGTAATTAAGCAAACATAACAATATATTATGTAGTTAGAAACTTTGGGTAATTTAGAATCCAGCATGTTTGTAATTTTTCCACACCTTAACGGAACAAGTAATTCATTGAGATATTGGGTCCCAACCAAACTCGGAATTGTTCCTCAATAGTAATTCAATTGGTTCAATCTTTCTCTTCCAACTCTTGATCTTATTCTTTATATGATTAAATTTAGAAGTTCTTCCAAATTTAGCATTCATGAATGACAACACATTTCGAGTGATGGTATATTTCTTGAAGGTGCATTATTCATCTTGTTGCTATTCTTCACCTCCACTAAAAAGCCTTAGTAGCTCTCTATTCTCTTGCTCTGACCATATTACATAGTCACAGCTTTTTTGGCCCTCTCACCATCTTGAGAGTATTCTTCCACAGTTTGAGTTTCATAAGCAAAATTCATCCTACAACGCAAATATCAATAATGACCAAAATTCATTTGATAAGACTATAGCTTTATGTAGTATGCACATGTAAGAGTTCAAATATAGAATCAAGAAAACTTCAATTATATAATGAAGTCTTAGTCTTAATTATAACAAATATAATCCAATGGCTAACAAACTTTGATCTAGAATCCAATGGCTAATAAATAAAATCTTAATTATAACAATTTCACAAGTTTTTCAATCAATCCAAACATGATACATCACATGTTTCACATAAATAATGGCTAACAGTTTTTATTTCTTCTATACATATCTACCCAAAATCAACAGAAACCAAATTGTTATTACAAAATTTGATGGGACAAAAATGAGTGAATGAAGGATAAACTAAAACTGCAATACCGCCACAAATCTATCTGCATCTAACATACTAGTTGAGGCATCTTGCACTGCCACAATACCTCTTCAAAGTGATGGAAAAGATCGACAACTGTTACAATTTGATTTGTTACAAAATTTACCAAATTGTTCCTCCATCGCAATGCTTATTTTAAATACATATCCAATGGGATCCAAATCTAGATTACGCAAATATTAAGACCATCTATGAATTGGTACAAAATTGATCTTTAGTAGAGGTTAGGGTTCTAGGACTAAAGTCGCTGCCAACAAATCCCACTTACACAAACTTCGAATTATGGCTAAGGTGGACGATCAAATCTGAGACTCTAAACAATACAAAATTCTAGCTTTGATGCCGACTTCGACTAGAAGTCTAGAACTGATCTACTACGTACCTAGCAAATATCTCACTTTGGGACTCGTGATGGCAACACAGTGGAGATTAAGGTGACCCGCTGGTGTTTTCCGGCGAGCTTGTTGGCGGCGTGCACTTTCTCGTCGCAGTCCTAGCATAGTGCCACCTCGATGGAGACTGCCGGCGACGAGAGGGAGGTCGCTTGAAGAATGCGATGGAAGAAGAAGAGACACTGTAGGGAGGTTGAGAGGGCAGGATTACCCCATGTTGTTCCAGTAAGCGATTTGGGTTAATTTTGAGGGTGGGGTCTGAGGGGTCTTTATATAGCTGGGGTAATTTTAGCAAATGTGGAGTATTTGTCCCACAATTATCCCAAAAAACCAATAATACTAAAAAGTTAAATCCATACCCAATTACTCCAATGAATGACACCAAAAAGTATTGTTCCAAAAATTATCCCAATATCCCAATATTTACACCAATGAATAACCCCTCTAATAACAAAAGGGGAGAATATTATTGAGATTAATTTTAACACTTCTATCCACGTGAATATTTGGCCTTCGAATGCTTGTTTTGAATGCTTGTTCGGTCTTAATCGTCATATTTTTTTATTTTTGAAAATGTACTCCATTGATGTAGGTGGAGCATAATCATCAGTCTGCAACTTTCACCTGTATATACCGAGGCATGACAAAACGATGTCTACAATGATCAGTAATTGTTGAAATGTGTTTGCTGCTGATAATTTTTTGTTATTAGACTAGTTGCAACGGATTAGTAATATCTGGTGACAACTATGAAAGGCATTTAACTCTTAACATGACTGGTAACTAAATTTGCAGCTACTGCTTAACACAAGTATACCGCAACCTGAGTCGAAATTCCGGCACATTTTGAGCGCTCATGAATCTTGCCAGAGCATATGTCCATGAAAAGCCTTTGTGGAGGCGATAAAGAGGCATCAACGCTACTCGCTTACCAATTTTTTTGGGTCGATAGATTTGTATGGCATATGTCTATGTTGCCTGTGTGGATGAAAAAAATATTTTACCTCGTCTATACTTGATGCGGACTTCACTTTAGTACTTTTGTCAAAAAAGTTAAACCTCTTAGATTTTGTCTATTTTGTTTTCATGTTATCTATCTGACGTATTATGCTACAAGAGATCACTATGATCTCGTTTGATATACTACAATTACCACAGTACCTTGGTCAATGCCCATATTTCTGGCTGGCTCTATTGTGATGTGTAGTAATTACTCTTGCTCTTCTCGTAGTAAATTTGGAAAAGTAATCTCTCCATCATGCGTAGTGGTCTTAATCTTCAATGAAATCTAGAATTACCTCGCTGCTGAACTTGCTGAATAGAAGCATCCCAAGTCCTTGAGAAGCAGTAACTCATGTTTGTCGTCTCAATATAAGGAGCCCCTCACAAAATATGAGGTACTTTCTGGTGAATTTTAATGAGAAATCATAAGCAGTTATGACTTTTTTTTTTCCTTTTGTATTTTATAGTAAAAAATAGTACAAGTTTTGTAATCTAGTTGGTGCTATTCTCGATGCCAACGTTGTGATGCTTATGGAAGACTATTGCATTAGGCAATATATCACCCGATTATACAGTTAATCAAGCTAATCAAATAGAAAGGCTCATGAATGAAACCTAAAATATGAATCAAGCTAGGTCCTTGGGCAGAGCAATAGCATACTTGGATTCTCGGTTTATCTTGAGCATTACCCATATGGTCAATAGTTATCAAGATTGACACTAACCCTTTGGGGGCGGTTGATTGTGGGCTGTTTGGTTGGGTGGTGTAACACTGTAGCTGTCAGATTGCTACAATATTACAAAAAAAAAAGTGTTTGTTTAGGCAAAGTGGGATTTGATGTGGCATGATAAAATCTAAGTTGACAACTTCTTGTTAATTTCCGGCTAGAGTAGATGTTTTGAATGTGTTTTACTGTAGCTGTCAGGCTAAGATGGGCCACTCAATTCCGTATTAATGTAGCAATCCCAAAAAATACATGAAAAAAACCAAATAGACCCTAACAACTATTGGTTCAATTTGAGAGAGGCCCCAAAGGCAGCCATCTGGGGGTGGTAGAGTATATAACCAATGTTGGCGAATTTGAAGGACCCAAAGGCCCATGGGCGATCCTACATAATCAGTTATGAATCAAGAGACAATGATCCTGCCTAGGGCTGTCCATCTGACCCGGCCCGGGAAACCGGGCCCGGGCCGGGCAAAACCCAAGCCCGGGCCTGAGCGGGCCGGACACCGGGCCGGCCCGGTTTGATTTTTTTTAAAATTTTTTATTTTTTTAAAATTTTAACAAAACCATAAATCATAAATTATTATAAAAAATGTCATAAATTTAATTAATAACTTGAAATGAAATGACATAAATTACAAGTACAAAAAATGATAAAAATAACTTATTTATTAATAATCGGTAAATCCTTTACAAGTATAAATTTATTTCGAAATTCGTCGCATCACAATAGATGAGTACATCCCAACTAGGTTGGCACCTACTCACCCATATCACTATCATTTGCAACTTTTTTCGAAATAATTTAATTCAAATTTAAAGCTAAGAAATAAAAATTACAATTTTATGAATATTATCTAATCATTATATCTATCTGCTAGTCCCAACTCTTCAAATTTATCTTCAATCATAGCAATCCGTTCGATGCCTTGTGTTCGCTTCTCGTATCTCCACCAATCCTGTAAGCACATCACCGCTTGTACAGTATACGGATCTAAGCATGTCCTGTGGTCGTCGATCAAACGTCCTGCTGTGCTGAAAGCGGATTCCGAGGCTACAGTCGAAACCTGCACTGATAGTAAGTCACGAACCATGGTGGAAAGTATAGGATATGAAACTGATCCATATACTTTCCACCATTGCAAAATATCTAAAGCATTTCCTTGACATCTAACTAAAGAAGCAGAAAAATATTCATCTATTTCAGAAACATCTAATCCTGATGAAGTTCCAGATCCACCAGTTAGTTCAGCTACCATTGCATACCTATCAAAACTTACACTTTTACCTCGACCTGTGCTCGAAGCTGAAGGTGCCGAAGCTGAAGACTGTTGTGTAGCTACACCATATCTAGCTGCATACTCATCATATAAGGTTTGAAAATAATTTCTAATAGCTAAATAATGAGTAGTAGCAGTAAGGGTGGATCCATCATCTAAGTCTATAATCTGTCCACCATACAATGATTGTAACAAACTTCGAAGGCCAATTTCCTTCAAGCATGGATCAATAAGAACACCAATACCAAAAATATGAGGAATAGGCCTAAAATACTTATTAAATTTACTCTCCATTTCAAAAATTATACTTCCAAAAATATCATCCATACGATATTTTGTAAAATTTTTTTGAATATTTAAAATTTGTAAAGCAGCTAAAGTAATAGTTGGATAATAACAACCAGATAATAACATAGTAGCATCATAAAAAACTTGTAACATCTCATTTAATTTACATATAACTGTCCATTCATCTTCAGTTATTCCATAAGCACTACCAGAGCTAGAACTAGAAGCATAAAAATTTATAAAATCATTTATAATTTTTTTATATTCTATTGCTACAGATAACATTGCATAGGTGGAATTTAACCTATGGTCAACATCTTTTGGAATTAGTCTAGGCTTATAATTTTTTCTTTTACAACATTGTTTCCATCTTTTAATTCTCATTTCTGAAGCATTATGCATATTAGCAACTGTTCTAACTTTTTCTATCATGGGTTTAATTTCAGAAAATGCACTTTGAACAATTAAATTTAAAATATGACAGATACATCTAACATGAAAAAGCTCACCATGACATGGCAATGATAAAGTTATTTTCAGAAAATCAACAGCTACATTATTATTACTTGCATTATCTAGTGAAAGAGTAAATATTCTTTGATCAATTTCTAGTTTCATAAGTTCTTCAACAATTAAATTTGCAACATTAATACCAGTGTGTGACTCTTCAATTGCAATAAAAGAAACAACTCTTTTAAACATTTTCCAACTTTCATCAATCCAGTGTGCTGTTATACATAAATAACCAGTTTGCACTCTAGATGACCAAATATCAGAAGTTAAAGAAAATTTGCAGTTTAAATTTTTAAAATAAGAAATTATTTTTCCCTGTTCCTCAACATAATATTTTAAAATATCACGTTGACAGGTTTGACGAGAAAATTTTGTAAATACAGGATAAAAACCATCTCTAAACAAATCTTCAAATTCACCATCTTCTACTAATTTAAAAGGAAGGTTTTTAAGAACAATAAACCTGATTACGCATTTCCGGGCTCGGGTGATAAACACGTAAAATATGCATTATCTTAGTGTGTTTCAAGCATGATTTACGTGCGTTTGATGCATATTTCGTGTTTAGATCGAGGATACTGCTGTTGTTTGTGTTCTTATATGTAGGTATTGGCTCAAGATTGAAAGATTTGATGATCGTTGGAAGTTATACAAGAGTTTGAAGCAACAACAAGATTTTGAAGGCATGGTTCGTGAAGAAAATGGATGCACGAGTATGAAGAACTGGAATTTCTACCATGATGCAGTTTGAATCAAGAAAAACTCAAAAGATGAAAGTTGTAGATCTCTTCAACAGGATTCCAATGCAACTTGAATCACCTCATTCCGAGGTCGGACGCAAAAGTTATAGCTAAAATACTAAAAACTGAAGAAACAAACACAAAATCAGCAAAACAGCCCCTACCACACCCTGGTGTGGTGCAGACCACACCGGTGGCGCGGGAATTAGTTATTCTCCATATTTTTAGGAACATATAAATAGATGTTTTGACTTAGGGTTTTGGGGATCTTTTGTTATGTTCTTTTAGCCATCAACTAGCAACTATTCTAGGGTTCTAGTATTGAAGAAATACATTAATCTCTTGTAGAAGATTGGATTGCAAGTTCTTATTTTGAAGATTTCAATTGAAAGACGGGTTAATTCTTTCCTCTCTTTGATTTATTTCTTCTTATGATTGATTTGCATAATTATTTGATGTCTTCTCTTATTCCAATCATGTGTGAGTAGATTTCTTGTCTAGGATTGGGAAAGAACCCAACTTTTTGGTGATTGATGATGAATTGATATAGGTTCTTGGTGAAAGTTTAAATCTTTGAACTTGATTTCTAGTGTTTTAATTTTGTTGATTCGCTTGATCACCGTATTAGCAATCATAGGTAATTAATTGAAGGACTGAAAGGTGAAGATTAATACCGGATCTCTAGAAATTAAGCAGGGAGCTCGAACCACGAAAGTAGGCTAGATTCCTTGGGGATTTGATTTGGATTAGCATAAAGCTTAATGGGTTTAATTTAATCTTGATTCCACGAAAGTAGGTTAATTGAGATTGATTAAGCACGATCTTTAGACCTTGAAAGAGGCTTTAGATTAATTTAGGCTAATTCACCCTTTCTAGATTAAACCAACACCAAGAATTGAAATAATTCATCATTGAACACCTAAGTTGTGGTGATAACCCAATCCTAGTCCTTCATTATATTGAATTCCATCCGATTAGTTGTTTATTTTATTTTTTTATTAAATCTCTTCTAATTTACTCATTGATTTAGCTAGTCGAATAACGTGAGATTTGGTAATTAACCCTAGTCCTTGTGGGATCGACCTTGATAGCTACAACGAGTCCGTGCGCTTGCGGATTTCTGCCCATCATCGGGCAGCGTCATAATTCCAACTGCCGAGGGTACCTGAAGAGGATGATTGGGAAAGCATAGACTGCCGGATATCACCTTGTAGATTTTGGCCTTTGTTGTGTTTTTCAATATGCCGTTTGAGATGGTTGGTGCCGCTCTTATGATGAGCTTTGAATATCTGGCCGCACAACGCACATTTCGCATTCTGAGAGATGATCCTACCGTGTTCATCCTTGGTGACGTCTATCTTCTCAAAAAAATTCCATACATCAGACCTCGGCCTTTTTGGAGCTCTTGGTGCCGTAGATTCGTCGCCACCAGATTCAGGATTAACACCGGTAGGATGAGGAGGAGTTGTTGTAGGAGGACTCATCTCTGGATCGGTAGGAGATGCATGTTGCTCTTCATAATCAGACCCAGAAGCTATTTGTTGGAAGTATTAGAAAATACAAAAGATTATAGGATAGTTTATTAGTATGAGATAGTATAAGAGAGTAGTAGAGAGAGAAAT